GGGGGGGGCGTGTAATATAAATCTTCGTATTCTGTGTTCCATGACCAAAATCCGATAATTTAAAAACGAAATCACAATATGTAAGGAGAACGAATTGAACTTTTAAAAACACGTTGCTTCCTGCATCGGCTACTCCATAAGATTGGAAGCTGTTGAAATGTAATTGCAGTTGGCATAACATCTGAAAGTGAATGTTATTGCAATATGAAGAAGTAAACAGATCACAAATAAAGCGGCAAACACGAAAAATGATATATTTGTGGTTTGATGACTTCTATGTTTACAGTTATATGCCAAAGATGCTAGACATTGTGAATATTATTATTGTAACCACTAATATAATTTAAATACAGATAAAGAAAAAGAAACAATATAGAAATAAGATCTGATTAAAACAACACGCCATCATGAGGCACTTCTCGTGATTGTACTGCAAAAAACATGGCGGATTGAGAAGGGGGGCATGGTGGCCATGCCCCCCCCCCCAAGGCCACGCGTTTTCGTTTTCCTTTCATTATTTAGCAAAATTGATTTAAATATTTGTTTGAATTATGTAATTATTTAAAAAATAATGGTGTAAAGTATCATAGTCACAGTATGTAAATAATATACCATATAATAACAATGTTTATTGTTTAACAAAAATCTATAATGGCTCCCTCCAAAATTATCGGCTGGATGCGCCCCTGCACTCTATGTAGTATTATGTAGTATATTCTAGCTCATTAGTTTAAATGGACATGGGCCTTATCTGACATAAGATGAGATAACTAGGGGTGCTTAAGGCTAAATGCACCGAAAAATACTTGTAGGAAAATTCAATAGATCGCAGCACTATCACAGGGGAATTTACTTTACCGATAACGTCTGAACCAATAGTCCGATTTTCGATCTGTAAACGGCATTTGACGCCTTTTTAAAATAGAATTTACGCTACGAAGCCCTTTTTTCAAAAATCTAGCAAAATCTCGAATTTGAAATTAGATCTCAAACTTCCGAGAAAAAATTTAAAAATGTGGGCTTATAGCGCGATGGCGACATGCTTCTTGAATCCAACGCCGTAACAATCATGCAAATCGGACAAATAGGAGCGTCGTAAAGAGAAATTTACGAAAATACCTCGCCCCCCCCCTTCCCCTTCTTCGCCGTTGCGTCACCCACCCGATTGTTGTCGGCCCTCTCTCGGTGCGGGGGCACGACCATGACAGGCGGCGTGCGGCCAGCCCCGGCGGAGCAAGCGGGACTTGCGGGATACGCAAGCCAGACAGTCGGTTTCGGCTTTCGTCTCCTTGCATCTCAGTCTATTTTTCCACAGATACAAATTAGAGATGCTATACTACTATTACTGACTGAGGTAAACGGTCTGTAAAAGTAGTACATAAGTATATTTTTCACATATTTCCGTCTTCCTTCGAATACGATCTTAAAATTGTTTGATGCAATACTCAAAATATCGATTCCAATTTGGAACAGGTTTTTTTAAAAAATGAACAAATTTTGTAAATATAACCATTATTCCATCTCCTCACATCTTATTTTAGATATATTTTACTTCTAAGGTTTTCTGTTAACATTCCACCTTGCTCTAAGATCTTCCGGTTTCAAATACCGGAAAGAATGAGCAGAGTATACGCACGAGCTCTTTTATCCCACAACTCGATTTTTGATCTCAGAACGATGTTTATCTGCTTTAATAAGTTCATCTGGTGGATCTCTTTTCCCGAGTAAAATGGCCGAAGCTAATTTTAAAAATGCTTTCGTACTTTCGGACAAATTTAAACAAGGACATGATCTTGACTGTACGGGTGGTATGTCCATGACATACCAGCCCTGAAGAAGGCCACGACAAGATAGTCGAAACGTCGGCAACACAGCTTTCGACACGGCGTCACCCGGACAACCAAGATCATGTACATGACTCTGGCCGCGGAAGCCTACGACTTGAAATTTAAAAAAGGTGGTAAAATAGCGGGCTGGCGAGGTGCATTTTGACTCCAACGCTGTAACAAGCATCGAAATAATATTTTATGAATCATGACTTATCCCAGCTTATTTGGTAAGTTATTTTGATATAAAATAAATTATTTTGATATAAAATAAATGTCATATTTGTATAATTTTGAAGGGAATAAATAATTTCTGGTGCGTCATTTCGTACAAACTACGTAAATGAATTAAGGGTAATGATGCAATTGGACAACTCCTAGAGGTTTGCTAGCATTTGGAGCGTGTTTTCTCTTCAATTTTCTTTGTTTTATAAAAAGTGGATTTTCTAGAAAAAGTTATCAGTAGAAATTTCAATATGCAAAACCAGTTGCACGTGACTCTTTCATCTCGTATCGGCCACAAAGATATAAATAATATGGAACATTCAAACGAGTTTAAAAACAGGAAATCTTTTTCTGTGAGTATGATCTTAGGATATGCTTTACGCTAACGCTTACGCGACGTAATGTACGCAAATTTAGACAACGTGGAGAATGCTCACACCAAGTTCACTGATCGGCTCGCTTACTCCCGGTGCCCTTCTCCCTTTACACTTCCTGCTGCCACGGTCCAACGTGTCGTATTGCGTCTGTTCATTACGAGCCACCTCATTCTTATAGTTGGGAGCTGATTTGATTTGCGGCTGAGGAACGGTCGTGTTCTGGAAGCTGCCCCCGCTAATCTGCAATACTAGCTGTTCCCAATAATTATGCCAATATCCATAGACAAAAAGAAAACATCATAGAAAATAAGGAAAAACAAATAAGCATAAGTGAATCAATCAATGTGAATTTTTTTATCTTACAATTGGCCTTTCTTACGGAGAGCTACTCCAAGCTGCCCCCCGGCTTCAAATCCTTCTTTAATGATATCTCCAGTTCGAACAGATACTCATTAGTCGTTTACTACGCGAAAATTGGTTGACAAGCGTGTTGATGGAAGAACGCCCGATTATTTTCTTCGTCACATTTCTTAATAAAGAGACGATAATTTCCTAGCTTAACTGGTATTTTTGCCTTTACACGAACAAAAGCTTATTTTACCGTCCCACCAAAAGTCAGAAAAAACTAAATTAAAATGAATACGCTATACATGTTTACACATTGACTTAAAACACATGAAGCAAACATGTTACACATGAGTTTCATGGTCTTCTTCAGAACAAGAAAACTATCTCCATCAGATTGAAGTGATATTGAACCTCATACAATGTTGTCAAAGCAAGATATTTACTAATTCCTCGACTGCGGCGTAGGCGGCCAAATTGCAAAACACGTCTAAATGCGGAATACTTACACTGTAGGTCTCGCGAATTCTTTAGTTCACCCTCGTATGTACGACAGATAGACATAATATTTAAATATGTGATTAAAGTTTTGGAAATATATTCATTTGTGCAATGTAATTGAATTACCTTACTATTCAAGCAGATATTATTGTCAAATTTGGCCGCACTTGCGAAAGGATGAGGCGTTAAAAAAGATGTACACTAGTGGAACACTTTTAGGTTTTCCAACGTCAAAATAATTTCTTGAGAACCCGCAGAGTGTGAAAGTGGCTTTTAGATTGTACTACCTCAGGGTACTAAAAAACTTATAGAGGTGTATACTGCACAATAATTCAAGTAACAAAAATGGCTAATGAATCTGAGTGTTTGTAAACATTTCTTTCGAATAATATTTGTAGACCTTCCAAAAAATCACTACGAAAAATCAGAATTCCAACGTTTGGTTTTGCATTTAAACACCACCAAACAAAAACATCTCTGCCTCATCTCGAAAACGAAAATTAGATTGTCGCGTTCTAATCTCATGACTTGATAATGGAAAACAAGAGACGTGAGATGATTGAACATAATTCGAAAACTGCAGAAACTCGTCAGTGCAATAAGTCCAGAAAAACAACCACTCATTTTTCATAATTACTTTTTGCAGGTTAGAAACATAAGATGAACAAACTGTAAGAATTTCGTTATGGTCAGTCACAGAAGCTTGTGTTCTCTCTCTTGTATCTGCCTGTTAGTCTATGCAACAGAGATTGTGAATGTATTGCGGGTCTGGTCCTACCGACTGCGATCTCACAGGTCTACCGTGATTCGTGTCCTTGAATAATGTAAATAAAAATATAATAAGAATAATAATAATAATAATAATAATAATAAATAATAATAAT